TCCTCCCCTGCTGTGTGAGTCTAAGAGCAGTGTGGAAGATTCTAAGTACGTAAACCAAAGAGTTTATGAACAAGACTGAGAATGTGACTTCTTGATCTAGCTAATGAAATGAACGGCTAAAAGACACATACAGAGAAATGTTTTGAAAGCAAAAAACTAGCAACAACTTAGTATTCAGCAAAACAGGACTATGTGAGACTACGCTATACCCGATCTGCCTATCAGCAGGACTGTGTAAGAAAATACTACAAAGTACTGTTTATAAAGCAAAAATATAGGAACAAAGCATAGCAAATTACACATCAAATTCTTTTTTTTTTTTTTTTAATTTTATGCATTTGGTACAGGGTCTCACTATGCAGCTCAGACTCCTAGTAATCTTCCTGTCTCTGCCTCTCCAGCACTGGGATTACAGATATGAACCACCTCACCCGGGCTTGGTGGCCAGCTCAGCGCACCTGGGGCAGGGCTGGTATGGCATGTGGTACTGAGGATCCTTGTGCTTGCCTAGGCAGGCACTCAGACTGCTGAGCTATCTCCACGGCCCCACACCAAATTCTTGGTCAAGGTGATTAGTGAGAGATGCTGGAGAACCTTGTCTATAAAGTCCTAAGTGATTTTTTTTCTTAGAACATATGAAATGTATCTTTAAAAAATACCAGTATGTTAATTCTACATAGTACACACACAAATTTGTGCTATATTATTTGTTTTTAACACTACAATTTTTTGAAAATGTCTATTTAACTTTTGTTTAAACCATTTATTTCACATAGAAGTAGTACCTAGAACCTAATGGAAATTTCCAAAAATGAGTTTTCCTTATCATCAAACATAGGCATTCAGGTACAGAGTCTGTAGGCCATTTCTGCCCTTGCATGTGTTTCACAAAAAAGTGGGAAATCTTAGACAAGCACCATAGGCTAGTGTACTGGTTGATACACTGTTGTCAACTGGGTAAGTTTAGTAGGTTAAAGTATCTCACAGCTCTACATGGTAGGGTGTTGAGGACATGCCCCAGGGTGGCTGCTTAAGGTCCAGGATGGTGTAATGAATGGTTGATTCACTATGTCAACTAAGAAATTTAATTAAGTGACTCAGCAGGCCAGGAGCCTCACTTTGTAAACATCCTGAACCTGTGTAAAGAAAGCAGGGAGCTGGTGTCAGCGCCACACCCACCAGGGAGGGCAGCCTGCTCTCAATCTAGGGGAGGAAAAGAGGCTCACTCCCCTCCTTTTTGCTCTTGTTGCATTTGCTGCTGTCTGCTGTCTTGAACTGCTGCCCCTCTGCTATGTCACCCTGTTTTGGAGCCAGTTGATTATAGACTGAAACTTCTACAAACTGCAAACTAAATAAACTTTTCCTTCCTTAATTCTGGGTGTCAGGTATTTTGTCCCAGGAAAGAAAAGTAACTAAGGTTCTTTCAGAGTTTGAGACTGCATCTTCTGAGATTTTTTTCAAGACTGTATCAGCTAACAGTGTTAACCACTTTTAATCCACATTTTATTTCCCTTTTTGATTTTTCAGATTTTTTCTATGCACATATTTTCATACATTTATAAAACTGTAGTCATTATTTTTATTCCTTTTTTTCACCCAATACAGGTATTTCTCCCATTCAGTAAATGTTCTTCAAAACAGAATATTTTAAATTTTTTATTTTTATGTATTTAGTACAGGGCCTACAGGGTCTCACTACACAGATCAGACTCAGTGATCCTCCTGTTTTCAGCCTCCAAAATGCTGGGATTACAGGTGTGCACCACCTCACCTAGTCTTCAAAACAGGACTGTGCTTTTCAATGGCACAGTATTTCATCCTATGGAATGTACGTACCATAATCATGATCGTACCACAACGTGACCAATCAATTGCACCTGAACATTTAAATTAATCCAGGTTTTCTTTTTACACTTACAAGTACCATATTTGGGGAAATTATTTTTTTTTCTGTATTTAGGACAGAGTGTACAGGATCTATAGGGTCTCACTATGTAGATTGGACTCTAGTGATCCTCCTATTTTCAGCCTCCCAAATGCTGGGATTACAGGCATGCGCCACCACGCCCAGTCTCAATTGCTGTCTCAGTGCTCCCTATGGGTATGACTAGCACGGCACACTGGGGATCGAACCCTGGCCACTGTGCTCTGCTTAATTGAAAATTCTTTTTTTTTTTTTTGGTGGTACCAGGAATCAAACCTAGGACCTCCACTGAGCTATCTCCCTGGCCCCAAAAAATTATTGATAGTTGTCTATATCTTCAATTATTTTTTTAAAATTTTATTTGCATTTATTTTGTGCTTAATTTATTCCCATGCCATAAGTTTTTGTTTCTGGAATATCTTTTTCTTCTGTGCAACTGCGTCCTCTGGTTTGGGAACAGTTTGTTCCTTTTCAGTAAGGATCATTTCAATATGGCAGAGGGAGCTCATGTATGGATTAATCCAGCCATGAGCTCTATAAGTACAGCAGCGCATCTTGGGTGCTTTGTTCACCTGGATATGTTCAATAACCAGAGAATCTACATCTAAATCCTTAGGCTCAGCAATATTATCTGCATTAAGCATGTGCAGCAAAAATTCAGCATTCTTTCTGGGCCATCAGCCCTGTGTCCAGCCCCACTGTTTGGCCTGGGTACACCTACCAACTCCACCATTGTAATGCCGGAATGGCACACATTTCTTCTTTATGTGACATCCTTCATATACTTGGTGGCCAGCTGGAAAGATGGCATAGCGGTTTACGCATTAGGCTCTATAGTAAGAGGTCGTAGGTTCGAGTCTTCCAAGACTCGAACCTACGAGTATATGAGACATCCTTCATATACTTGGTGGCCTTTCAGATATGTACACCCCTGGTGACCTGGGCAGTTTCATAAGTGTTTTTAAAGTGAACACAAAGATTTGAGCCTCTTGATTTGCATGATTTTGTGGGGTTTTCTGGGTCAAGAGAATAGCAAACCATTTTTACAGGTCACCTCAGACTACTCAGAGGAAGAGCTCTTCAATTATTTTTTGTTCCAGATTCTTAGAAGAACGTACTCAGCAAAAGATCTAAAATCTTAAAATTTTTCATACACACAGCATTCCAGAAAAATTATACCAATTTATGAATCTGCCATCATTATTTTATCATGAATACAGTTCTGATCAGAAGGCACAAAAAGATAGTAATTCTGAACACCAAAACAAAAACAAGATACTTCTCCTTTGAAAACAAGGAGTTGAAGACTGAGCATGGTGGTCCATGCCTGTAATCCCAGCTCTTGGGAGGCTGAAAACAGAAGGATCACTACAAGTCTGATCTGTGTAGTGAAACCCTATAGACTCTGTGCTAAATAAATTAAAAAATAAAAAAAAAAAAAACAAAGAGCTGATTATACACATACAGATCATAACCTGAAAAACAAAGATTAGAGGGGACACCTGAGAACCCTGTTCTGCAACTATCCACTCCATGCACAAAAAGCAAGCCCTACCCCAAACATACCCACCACTTCCATAGGATCCTGTGTACACTGTTCTCACAGCCGGAATATCTCTACTCACCCTATGTACTGACTACCGTGATGCTGCCTTTTTCTCCAGCAATTTTTCAGTGAGCCACAGTCTAAATTTTTTTTTCAATTATTCTTCAACTCTGCTTCGACAATGCACTCAGCTTACCCTACATTAGAACTCATTTCATACAAAGTGAATTGAAATTAATGGTCTTTCTCCTAAACTAGAAAATGTGTTTCTCCTAGGAAAAAAACTGCTGCTTCATTCTTTGCTATCCTAGCACTTAGCAAAGTACGTGGGAAATGGGAAACACTGAAGAAAAATCTACTGAATGAATTAATCACAGAGTGAGGGTCTGACAAGAGATGAAGCCTGTTAGTACAGGGCCGGACAGGAAATACTTAGGATGTATCATCTCTATCACTACTCAACTCTGTCTTTTTTAGCACAAAAACAGCTACAGACAACACATAAATGAATGGCCATGGCTGTGGTCCATTATAATTTTATTAACAAAACAGGTGGTGAGGGGAGATAGTTCAGTGACATAGCACGTGCCTGGCAAGCACAAGGTCCAGAGTTCAATCCCTGGTACCACAAAAAAAAAAACCAAAAAACAGGTGGTAAGCCAGATTTGGTCTGTAAGGCACAGCTTGCCAGTCCCTAGTTTAGAAAATGAGTCTTTAAATTTTTAAAAAAGAAAACTAAAGGCAATGAAAAGACAAGAGACTTAGTGCTTTAAATCTATGTAAAGTTTAGGTTATATTTTACCTATTTAAGTCAACTGTTATCACTTGGTACTTTGAGTTGGTTTGTAATGCTCAGAATACGGGGAAGAAGAATAGCTAGTATGGCATGCTAAAATAGGAACTCAATACAAAATGTTAGGTCTTAGTCACAGACAAAAAAAAACAAAAAAACAAAAAACCAGCCAGATATAAAAAGAAGCAAAGAATTAGGCAGGTGGTGCACTTCTGTAAACCCAGCTATTCGGGAGGTTGAGGCCAGAGGATCCCCTGAGCCTAGGAATTCAAGGCCAGCTTGGGGAATAAAAGAAAAAAAGAATGAAGGGTAGGTAAGGAAATAAAGATACAGTATTTCACAGAAATTATGTTGTAGTCATCTATAATTGATTGACTGCTGATAAACCTGCTTTGGTACACAGACTATCATGACAACAGACTACAGATATGCATGGCAAATTGGTCAGAATTTCATCACACTTTGAGGTGAATTATGCATCAAAATAATGTGTGTGAGTCAACGACAGAATGCATAGCCAGGTTCAAAAACCAAGCTTCTCATTGCTGACGCTTTCTTATCTCTGAGTCTACATGACAACTCTGTCTCCTCAAGCCTCCTGACCCCACCATGACTCTCTAGTGTAAGCTCCTTTAGCTGTGGAACCAGAAGGAGAACTCAAGACTGCATACATGATCACAACAGCCCATCTGCTATGAATGCATGTACTCTGAGAAGTTAGTCCACCACAGCCTTACTTTTCATAGTCCCTTCCTCTTCCTCATCTTCGGCATTAATCACCATGGTGCCCAGCTGTGACGGTAGCGTGTCATCATGCTCAATCATAGTGCTGGCTCCATCGCTCAAGGTGCTGGCTACTCGGACAGTGCCCATCTCATCACCCACTGCTCGAACCATTGTGCCAGAATCCATTTCATCTTCTTCCTGTAAAAGGATAAAGTCTCGAATCAGGACAATTTGATCATATGATTTTTGAATCTCTAAATTATGAATTACTAGTCCTGAATATGGTTACCTAAATTACTACTGCTTATCTTGGCTCAGTTCTAGATTTGACACTTCTGATTCTAAACTTATACTGTACAACTGAAAGTATTCTTACTTAACCAAAAAAGATCATACATTTACATATAAGAGAGCAAAATATCTAACCTAAAGGATCCTCTTCCTCCCTCTTAGAGTTTTTGCAAGATAGAGGTAAGAAGCTGACCCTTGAAATCTCAGGGACGTGAAGACAACTGAATGGGTAAAGGCTATAAATGAGGTATAGAACCTATTTCCCCAAAGGACTTGAAAAACCATCTCGGATCTGAGCTTTGTTTCTCTCTCAAATAAAAAAGTAAAATTGACAAGAAGATATGGAGGGAAAAAGAGTAAAACTTAAAAGTGTTTTAGGAAGCAACATGGAAAGAAAATGCACAGATTCAGAAATCCTATGTCAAGCCTGGGTCCAGGTCACAGGAAGCATTTCCAGCTCTAAGTTGATCCAATATCACCACTATCTTACCTGTCCTGGCAATCATGAAATAACAAGTACTAATGCCTGAGGATCACCGCAAAGCCTAGCACTCACTGAGTTTTCTTCATCATCCTGGTCCACTTCCCGCTGCTGGGCTTCTTGCCGTTTCAATTTCACATCCATGGCTTCATTAATTAAGTCCCGCAATATTGACACTCCTTTGGCACTCTTCACAAATGGGTGCTTAAACAACAAAGACGAAACACTAGAGACAGCTTATATGGTGACAGAACCAAAATAGCTCCTGGCACACAGTTAGTATGTGCTATTTGCCTTAATCAGTGAACACCTTTCTCTTTAGCTTTGGACAACAGCTAAACCACACTCACTTTATAATGCTGAGCAGAGATGTACACGTTCAGAGTTTCCATACTTTTTTCAGCCCGGCTGGAATATCTGTGCCATTTCTCCTATTAAATCTATAGATTCTCAACAAAGTACCTCTGAGATCAAGTTTTGTAAACATGCTGGGAGACTATTGTTTGGAGAGTACACACAGCATGGGATCTTGGGAGGCCAGGATGCTAGCAATGCTGTGAAGTATGAAATGGTCCTGAACAACAATGAACTGTGGAATATTTTACACTTTTCAAGTGTCTTAGAGAACACTTTAAACTTTAACAATATTGAACATTTTTTTTAAGAGATACACAAAATGTCCAGTGATTTGGGGAGGTGATTCTAGAGAGGGAAGCTTAACTAGAATAAGACATTATTCCAATGCTATAAAATTTATTCATCCCACTTATTCTTTCTGTTCTACACACTATAACATTTCCAATTACACATTTAGTCAAAAGGGATTTTAGTATGAAAATAATTACTAAAACTGATCATAAATACCTAACTTGAGATATAGACTCAAGTATTACTCAATAAGCAAAGACACCTGAAACATAGTAACACTGTTAATTTTTTTTAAAATTATTTATTATTTTTATTTGTTTGTGTGTGTGTGTGTGTGTGTGTGTGTGTGGCCAGCTCAGCCCACCAGGGGGAGGGGCGGGCTGGTATGTGGTGCTGGGGGATTGAACCGTGGTCCCTGTGCTTTGCTAAGCTTGTTCTAAGTAGGTTCTTTAGACCACTGAGCCATCTCACCAGCCTGCTAAATTTCATTAACAATAATTACTTTAGCCAGGGAGGTAGCTCAGTAGAATAAGCACTTGCCCGGCAAGCACAGGGTCCTGAGTTCAATCCCCAGTACCGCAAAAAAACAAAACAAAACAAAACAGGCTGGGGAGATGGCTCAGTAGAAAAAGTGCTTGCCTGGTAAGTGCAAGGACCTGAGTACAATCCCCAGTTCCACCAAAACAAAACAAAATAATAATTACTTTAAAGTTTATATATATAACTACCATCTTATATTTGTGTTTATAACCCAAATCTCTGCTATACAAACTGTGCATGGAAATTCTTCTAGGGGGTTGCCTATTGTTTTTCAAACACACTCCTGATATGGTCCTACTTTTCTTCTTCGCAATCTACTTTCTATTTCTTACCACATGTCAGAAGGTAAGGCCTCCAAGGCCCTCTAAGTACTGCAGAGATTAAAAAGATGCCCCAACATGCACTAGGATATAGGAGACATTATTATTACCTCAGGCAGAAAAGAACTTAGTAATATCATCTACATGCAGGATGCACAAAGCATCCTCTAGTCAGTAGGTGAGTAAAACAGAGGGGCAACAGGGCAACTCATACCTGCAGGAGTTGAGTGGCTGTGGCTCTCTGCTCAGGGCTTTTTACAAGACACTGCTTCACAAAATCCATGAAGTGATCTGACCACAGCTCTGGCTTTCGAAATGTAGGAGGAGGGTTTGTCGGAATCATGAAGATTGCCTAATTAAAAAAAAAAAGGTAAAATAAAAAAAGTGATGCACCAATAAAAATATAACCAAAAATACAATTTCTATTTGAAGCTTGGTAAAATGATTTTTCTTGTAGCCACTGCTTAGCCCATCCAGATTCTACCTGAAGTCCAAACATCTTAACCTGACAACTAGAGAACTTGATATATTTTTCTCCTTCTGCTTCCCTCTCTCACATGTATTTTCCTCTAAATCTTACAATATCAATGAAGATTTTTATTTTTATTTTTAATGCTAAGTACATTACATGGCCTTTCAAAGTGGAAAGGCAATACCTGAAAGTACTGAAGACAAACAATGTCATTGCTAAGTTCCAGCCTCCTTCAAAGTCACCACAACGCTAGATGTCAGCCATGACTATAGGATCATCAACCAGAAGACTCAAAATCACATGGTGAACTCCTACATCAGTCAAATTCTACTTCAAAGCCAGCCACAGTGGTGCCTGTTTATAATCCCAGTGGTCAGGAGGCTGAGGCAGCAGAGTTGCCATGGGGCTGAGGCCAGCCTACATAGTAACTCTCCAGCTAGCCTGAACTACATAGCAAGAATCTGTCTTAAAAAAACAAAACAAAGGGGGCCTGGGGAGATGGCTCAGTGTAATAAGCGCTTCCCTGGCAAGCGGAAGGGCCCGAGTTCAATCCCCAGTTCTGCCAAAAAAACCCCAAAAAAACAAAAAACAAAACAGAACAAAAAAAAAAAAAAAAAAACCCTATTCAAAGAGACTTTGAGGGTTGGGGAGATGGGTCAGTAGAATAAGTGCTTCCCTGGCAAGCGCAAGGGCCTGAGTTCAACTCCCGGTTCCACCAAAAAAAAAAAAAAAAAAAAAAAGGAGACTTTGAATTCCAAAAAGAGTCTTAGTTTTTGAAATATAAAACCCTTTGCAATAAGCATGTTAAATTACATCCTTTAAATCTAAAAATATAGCCAGCAAACCCTCCATTCTTCCCAACTTTTGTTCCCTACTAGAGGGAAGCTTATCTTTGAGCATATGAATACTTTAAAAAATGGTTCAAGTCTTGTAGGAATGAACTAATTACAGAGAAAAGGAAACGCTGGTTTGGAGAGGTATGGAGAGAACTGTGGGGCTCCTCAGCCCAGCAAGGATGTTGCTTCAAGGAATTCTGGGGGTGGGAAAGGCCTCAAAACTAGGGTGTCAACACTGCAAGAGTTTCAGAGGCAAAGAAGCCTACGTGACTTTAACAATCAAAAGTAGATGGAGGGGGGCTGGTGAGATGGCTCAGTGGTCTAAAGCACCTACTTAGAACAAACTTAGCAAAGCACAGGGACCGCGGTTCAATCCCCCAGCACCACATGCCAGCCAGCCCCGCCCACTGGTGGGCTGAGCTGGCCACACACACACACACACATAAATAAATAAAATTTAAAAAAACAAAAGTAGATGGAGGTTGGAAAGAACAGAGCCTCTAGGAAGGTCTGGGATACACAACCCAGAATTTACAAATTCTAGTACCTGCAGAGACCAGATGGGAAAAAGATAACAAACAAATCAGCCTAGGTGTTACTGACATGAGTTCACTTAAGGTATCAGAGAACACACTAATAAATGCAATCTGATACATTGCAGTACAATAATGGGAACTAGATAGAAAGCCCATAAAAGAGACAATGCCTACTCAGCGCCAGTTAATGTTAACATGTTAGAATGTGAGTGCCTAAAAAATTTATGTAATGATACAAGTTAAACAAGATTTCTGTACCCTGTGTCCTGCTAGGGGACTATTAACATACAACTTTGTGTAATGGAGAAAGGTGGGTTGTACTTCAATTAGTAACTATAAGCAGTCAGTGGAACTGTATCATCTACAGTGACACTGAAAAATTATATTCAATTTCTCATGTGGAACTTTGCCAAGTACACCACTGAACTAACTTTCTAATGGTGACCAATACTTAACCTTGCTGGTTCTCCACCACTTCCTTACCCTCATTGGATGGATATCAGCATAGGGGGGCTTTCCTTCAGCCATTTCTATGGCTGTTATTCCCAGAGACCAGATGTCTGCGACACAGTTGTACCCAATTTCCTGAATCACTTCTGGAGCCATCCAAAACGGTGTTCCTATCACTGTGTTCCTCTTGGCCATGGTATCCTAAAACAGAAAAAGGAGAGACTAATATTAAGCATTATGAGTACTGACAAAAAGAGATTTTCCAACAATAAAAAGGCCTTGCACTTAAAATCTATATAAAAATCATGACTAAGAATTCATAAGAGAAATTCAAACGACCATGAAACAAAAAGATCCTTAACTGTCAAATGTAAAATAATATTTTATTTTATTTTTTATTTTTTGTATTTAGGACAGGATCCATAGGGTCTAAAGGGTCTCACTGCATAGATCAGACTCGCAGTGATCTTCCTGTTTACAGCCTCCCAAGTGCTGGCATTATAGGCGTATGCCACCATGCCCAGTCGCAATCAACCTCTCAGTGCACCCGGAGGCAGGGCTGGCATGGCAGGATTGGGGATCCAACTCACAGCCCCTTCATCTGCCTAAGCAGGTACTTTAATCCACTGATTATTTGGCCAGCCCTAAAGCGATATTTTAAAGTAATAACTACCACTAACAATAGCATACAAATTGCATGTGGTGATACACATATTGTAATCTTAGCACTCAGGAGACTGAGGCAAGAAGATCACTGTAAATTTGAGGTTAGCCAGAGCTACATAGTGAGTTCAAGGTCAATCTGAACTACATAGTAAGACTTTTCCTTTAAATAAATAAATGATAATAGCATACAAAACCAGAACCCAAAATACAATGTCAATGGTGTGCAAACTTTGGTATTCTATTTTGCTAGGCACACTGCATATATTCATTAGACCTTCAACTATTCATATCCTTTGATCCAAATCTACTTGTAGAAATTTGTCTTACATGAAAGTGCTCCACAACATATGTACAAAGATAACAGAAATGTTTGTAAATGAGGGCACAGACAAGGAAAAAATTCAGTAAGTTGCCATATACTGAAACACCATATTAAAAAGAAAAAAGGGGGACAAGGGACCCCTGCAAATGTAGCAGTAACACTTGTCGCGCATGTCCTAGGCCCTCAATTCAATCCTCAGCAGCATAAGCACAGGTACATGGGGAAAAAAAAAAAAAGACATATTTTGTTCACCATGGAAAAAGATATAGATCATGAAGCAAAATGTTGTGAATTGTGTGAAGTTGTAACATCTTGTGAAACAAAAATTAGGCTGCAAATCTATAATATAGCCCTGATCCTATAAAAGGAAAATATAGATAATAGCATGATAATAAAACAATAATCAACAATAAGAAAAAAGTTTTGGCACAGGAAAAAAAAACCAACAAACTTTTTATTTATTTATTTTTGGCGGAACCGGGGATTGAACTCAGGCCCTTGTACTTGCCAGGCAAGTGCTTATTCTACAGAGCCATCTCCTCACTCCTTTTTTTTTTGTATTTTTAGGGAAGGGGCTACAGGATGTTCAGGGTCTCACTACTAGATGAAACTCATAGTGATCCACCTATTTACAGTCTCTCAAGAGCTGGGATTACAGGCACGCGCCACCATGCCCAGTCCTAATCACTGTCTCAGTGCATCCCAGGGGCTGGGCTGGCACGGCAGGTCCAGGGATGGAATCCCCAGCGCCTGCACCTGCTTGCAGGTGCTTTAATCTGCTGAGCTATTTGGCTAGCCCGTCTAAAAAAATCTTGAGAATTAATATACAGCAAGCCACTGACAGTAGTAGCATATCTAGAAAGCAAAGTCACTACATACTTTTACTTTCCATCATATATATTTCTGCAACATTCTGAAGACACGTGTATCACATGTACAGTCAGGAAAACATTTTCAAGTTTGTATATAGCCAGGCATGATGGCACGGGTCTGTAATACCAGCACTCAGGAGACTGAGGCAAGAGAATCGCAAGTCAAAGCCAGTCTGGGCTACAGTAAGAGCTTGTTTCAAAAATAAATTACGTATGAAAAATAATATATAAAGTTTTTGCTTGTGGCTGGAAGAACACATGGACATAGTACACATTACAGCAAATAAACACTTTAATATTTTTTTGCAGAATGGCAGAGCCTATTGAAAAAGAACCTTCTTCAAGTCCTGTACTTTATAAAGAGGACTTTTAAACCGAGCTAAAAATGAAAAAGGACTTTCCATCATCATCAGCCATGTTTACTTCTTCCGAAATGCCTGTGGTTTACTTATGTTATGCCAGTCAAGGGTAAATGACATGTAACATTTCTGAACTGATCTCTCTCCATCGCTCCTATGTGAAAAACTAACATAGGAAATAACTTACTGCTTAGTCATTTCCTCAGTTCTGCAACTTCAAATTTGCAGGGGCGTTTCCATGATGGTAGTCAACATAGTTTTCACTAGATTATTTCAATTAGAAATAGACACATACTTGGATAGTTACAAAATTTCTGATACTCAAAATGAGTGGATACTAATCTCCCCTAAATTTGTGTTACAAAGTTGTATTAGTATAATAGAGCAACAGAAAAATAGCCCAGAAACAGATTGTGGCACATAGTCATACATACATACATAATGTAATGGATAGTCCTAATTTTAATATCATGTTTCTATACAGCATGTTTAAATTTTATTTCCTTAAGACTTTAGTTCATGTAATATTGTTTGCCATGGTTTACTAATTAACAATATGTGAAGAATGCACAAATCATAAAACTGAGTAAGCTTTTTTTTTTTTTTAAAGGACATTAAAGCAATTCCTGTGTTGTAATATCTATAAGACTTCCTAACATGTCCTAGACAGATTTTTAAATTAAAAAATAAAAACTAGGGGCCGGGGATATAGTTCAGTGGCATAAGCGCCTGCCTGGCAAGTGCAAGGTCCTGAGTTTGATCCCTGGTACCACCAAAAAATAAAAAAATAAAAAATAAAAACTGAGCCAGGCACAGAGGTACATGCCTATAATCCCAGCACTTGGGAAGCTGAAGCAGGAGAATCACCATGAGTTCAAGACCAGCCCAGGATACATAAGCGAGTTTGAAGCCAGCCTGAATGATATAATGAGACCCTGTCTCCAAAAAAATTTTAATTTTAAAAAGCAAAAACTAGGGCTGGGGAGAAGGTTCAGTACAGTAAGCACTTGCCTGGCAAGCGCAAGGACCTGAGTTCAATCCCCGGTTCTGCCAAAAAAAAAAAAAAAAAAAAAAAAAAAAAAAAAAAACTGTACCTAATACGAATAACTTAATATATAATATGGTTATAAATTTAATGTATAACTGCCTACAACTATTTCTATTTTTTTGATATATACTTTCACATATTCTTGGATATTTTACAAAATCAGATAAACTCTAGACTTCCTGTTTTGAAATTTTGTTTTTCTTTTTTCACTGCCATGCGCTAGTGAGATAGGAGAATCAACAGATGATGCTGAAAGCAGCGAAAGTGTCTTCAGTACAGTAAATGTTCAATACTATTGGGAAGCTGAATGAGATGTTACTATTCCTTATTTAAGGAAAGGAGCATGGATTTAAGTTTTCTTCCACTACATATGCTTATGTAGCTCAACAGAATTTAAACTAATATTCAATTATTTTCTTTTAGTACTCACTTTTACAAAAATTTAAATAATGTGACCTGAACCACAGATAGGATGTGAAATAATCTATTAGCTTTCTTATAACCTATTGGTAGATTATGTAACATTTTACTGACATAATTGTCAGTTATTATATTTTAAAGATAAGTGGAAGGAACTGGTCCTTCAGGACAAAGATGAAAACATCAATACAAATATCATATTTACTTACTGTAAGTTGACCTGCTACTCCAAAATCTGCAAGCTTTGCATGTCCTTCTGTATTTAACAAAATGTTTCCTGCCTTGATGTCTCGGTGTATTTTTCTCATAAAATGAAGGTATTCCAGGCCTTTCAGAGTTGACTGTAATATTGTAGCTATCTCATCTTCTGTTAACTGGAAAAAAAAAAAAAAAAAAAGGAAATTCAAATCCTATGTTTACATATCTGAAAATTAAGAGTTAGATTCAAACTATAAACATAAGATCTTATTTGACACATAAGCAGCATTTGACTGCTTATACCAGTTATATGCTAACCACTCCCCAAGTGATATTCCCAGACCAGGTATTTCCCCATACATAAGATCTGCCTACATCTCTAGCAAGCATCCTAAGCAGCACATGTCAAACCCAACTCATTCTATCCTTTCCCTGTCAACCTTCTACTCAGCCAACTCACTCTGTTCCCTTAATCTTTTGTCAGTTCAGTACAACATTATCTGGCATACATTATTTACATACCTATTAATATGTTGTCTTCCCTGTTAGAAACATAACCCAGTACTACTCAGCCATAATGATGGATAAACTGGAGGCCTTTATAAGTAAATGGATGCAACTTGAGACCACATTCATAAATGGAATAAACCAGACACATATCTACAAATGTCACATTGTCTCCCTGGTGTGAGAAACTGAAAGAGTAAATAAGATGCAAAATGTACAATAGATACTGTAAAATGG